ATTTCAGCTTTGAGTTGTGTCTGAAGTCAGTTCAGAATATGAAATATCATGGAATAGTTTATTGACACCATTAATGTACTATTTTCTGTTTAAAATTACAATTTTTCTATCTTTGTTAGTTTTAGTTATATTAAGGTCTTTATTATTCTGCAAGTCCTTAAAAGCATTGTTTTATGATTTGGTTAGATTATGGTTGGAAACCAGATTAGATTTACAGATATTACAAGCTTAAAATCTAATTGGCATTTGGTTGATTGTATTTAATTCATATATATATTTAAAAGTAAATATTAAAAACACAGACAAACATTGATTTTTGTGTGTCACATGGTAGGTTGAATGCAGCACTGATTCAAATTAGGTGTTTGTGAAGTCAAAATACTGAGTCTATAGTTTTGTACGAATTAGAAACTCAAATTACCGATACTGACAAGCCAGAATATAAAATAAGAATATCTTATCTTTTCTATTTGCTATGATATTGCTCATGTAATAAATCAAACACAGTGGCACCCCATCAATCACTTTTAATTTTTTGGAAACGCTCCCTTATATACACTTACTTTTATATATGACATGAATAACCAACCAGAAGCACAGAATGTCCCCCTAGTGACTTTCTCAGCCATTTTAAATTCTTAGGATGCCATTTCTTTCTTCTGAATCATGATTTCAGGTAGGGTGTGTCTTTAGTTTGCTCGAAATTTCATATTATTTTAGACTAAAATACATCTTAGTTACTAAGCATGATAGATTATAGTGGAATTCTATGGTACTGATGTAGTAAATATGATTTTTTAGTTATTGAAATGTATATACAGAACCTAAAAAAAATTATTTTGTTTCATATCCTTCATGTGCAAAATTTTTATAGGCTTAGCAATCTACATCAAGCAGCAAATTAGTACAAAGGTATTAACTAGAAGAGATAATTGTTTGCTTTACTTCTTTATTTACTGTTCTATGTTCTAAGAAAAATAAGTTTAAGAACTTATTTCAAAATAGCAATAATCCATATACAAATATAATGTATAATAATTGAAATGTGACTGTATTTTAAAAAAATACTAGTCTACTAAAACACAGCCAAGACAAGTTACTTTGTACAGACCAAAGGTCAGTTTTACATTATTTGATACAGTAATATGAGTGCACATGAACCGCATCATTGTAACTTCTGTATTGTTAGTCAGGCGTGGGTGAAAGGTACAATATAATAAATATATATAAATGTATAATGTTATGAGAT